GTTGTTAAAACAATTTCGGAGTATGGCTACAAAATGTAGCACGCTGTTAATTACCGGCCGCAAGAAGCGCGACTTTCAAGAGAGACAAAAACAAGAAAGACATTAAGAATTAGAGAAAAAATATATCCAGGATATTCACCCCGGGGGTTAAAGGGAACAAAGTAAGAATATCGGGCATTAACTAAAACACCTGTAAGACACTTTTGTCTTATTTCAAGGTAGAGTTAAATTTTTACAGAGCGATGACCATTTTTAAGTCCGTTGAATAGTGTAAACAGAGACGTAGATTTAACATTTTAAACTCTTATTCCACACCTTCTAACAAATAGTAATACAAGTTAACTACGCTATATTCTTGCTTCTGGGAAAACCTTTTCTATCAGGCAGTGACCGCGACAACTAGAGCTAACATCCCCGCTTGCCCTAATTAACAGTTGGTGGAGAACCCGGGTGTTCTTGCAAGGAAAGACCATGAATAAAAGCTACTTACAAATGGCCCTCGACTTCCAGGTGGACCCTTTGCACCGGGCAAACCAGCATCTCCCTTAAAGAACAAAAATCAAAAATGTCATAGTTCCGCATGGTTATTCTGGTGAACAGTAAACAGATAAAGTGGTCACAAACCTCTTCACCGTGAGTCCCTGTGGGCCCTGGTAAGCCTATGGGTCCATAATAGCCCTACAAAATGATGCAAATCGTCAGAAATTACGAGAATTGGTGTCCTAAGACTCAAGGGTAGTCCTTACAATTGTAACAACTGGATGAGGAGCAAGGTCAGGAAAGTGACTATGGTCTATGGTCTCAGTCAGCTTAATTGTGGAATTACTGGCAAAAAGAGGACCCGTCCCAAAGAATGAAACGATTTAATTTAATTTCAATCTTAAAAACCTTCACAACAACACTAAAAACAACGCTACAAGCAAAATAACCAACCTGATCTCCATCAGTCCCTGCCAGGCCAGGATTACCCAGTGGACCACGCGGACCCTATGATCATGGATCTAAAGTCAATATTGATAATTCCAATATTACAAAACTGGTGCGATATCTTTCAACAATATTTAAACGTTTGACGAGGATTTCGTCTACATGATTGGAGAGTATGTTGACGTCTATGGGATTACTTAACGTCAATTCATATTTAGAGGTAACAGGTTAAATAGCATTTCTTTACCTGTGGCCCCGGTAAGCCAATCAGTCCCTCGAATCCTGGAGGACCCATAATGCCCTGGAAAGGAGACAACAATTTTTATCACTTTTTTAATAATTGCCTATCTGTTTGTATAGGTAAATATCGTAGCTAATAAGCATTAAGATCGTCCAGTTCTCATTTCCCACTGGCAACTTTGCAGAGAAACAGTTAGGGTTACGTGAATTATTTCTTGCACTTTTTTAATTAAACTAAATGGATCGCCATTTTCACATCTCCCATAATATACCTTGTTTGCTCCCCCGCCCCCCCAAATTATGCATAACCATTGTTTTTCATTTCCCCTAGGTATTACAGCCGTCCCAGGAGAAACTAAAAACAATGCTTATACAAAATTTGGGGGAGGGGGGCGGGGGGTAAAACAAGGTGCGTTTTGGGAGATGTGCAAGTGGCGAATGCTTTGGACAACAACATGTTAGAGGTGGTATATCGATAGCTCCATTCAGTTCCTTACTACAACTTGCAAAAAGGGTTTCCAGATTTGTAGAAGGCGGTAAAAGGCAACTTACGGGATCGCCTGTGCTTCCTTCTTTCCCATCCTCACCGCGTGGACCCTACAATAAATATGTCTTACACTAAGATCAAACAAGCAATTCCTAAAGCTTCAATAACGTTGATACTCCTGGCTTTGTAATATGTGAAAAAGAATTCAGTTGGGAAGATGTTGAGAGAGGAGGGAATACCTTTTCACATACGAGTACGACAGTACGGCAGTTTTCTCTTTGATAATTTAGTCCAAATTGACATCATCTAAAGTGATAACTAGTCTAAAAGTAAAACGTTCAACATCTTTAATAAAGATGCCATGCTTAAATTGTCGGGGAACGTGATCATTTATAAGAAATATGTCAATAAGAACTGTCATACCAGACATACCAAATCAAACACATTTCCTCTGTTGCATGTTCACGCTTTTTTTATTTTTGTTTTATTTTTACAAGAAGTGCTCATTGTTTTAATAGCGTCCCCCAAATATCGGTTTGAAACTGCCATCAGATAAAACACTGAGATAAAGTTCTATTCTATAACTGTCTTACAGAAACCTGTAACGAAGTCCAAAAGCTCTACGCATTTGCAAGTCGGACTCTTCTCTTTCTTTTCTCCCTAGGAAAGACAAGTGAAGACAGATTAAGTACCAAGATCGATAGAAGTAAAGGAGAAAAGAAGTGAAGAGTCCGATGCCTCCTTATAAGAGCTGCCACAGTTTGTTCTTGGATTTCAATCGCAAATTCTTCTTCTTTGAAATATCTACCAAATTGTGATGAACAACAACAACAACAGAAGTAAACACAGACTGCTATTATGTTAGGAAACAATTTTTACGGACAGAGCCATTCTTCATTGGAAGCTGTTAAATGTGCTTGTGTGGCAGCCGAATAAAGAGGTGTTACTTTTGTCACGACTTAACAGTTAATTGACTTGGCAAAAGTAACTATTCGGATAAATAAAATAGCTGAAAAAGGAAAGCGAAGCTGAATGTAATTTTTGGAGTGTAGTAACGTGAAACTTGACTAAATGCGTCAATTCCACTACATAAACTAAAACAGTGGTCAGCAAGAGCAGAAGAATGAGATGAAGTAGTAAGAATGATGTGCAGTTAGTGATGGACGCAATTAAAGAGTTCTACATAAGACATCTAACTACAATCATCAAAATATTTTCTCACCATCAATCCATCAGCACCTGTTTCGCCAGGGGGGCCAACAACACCCTTTAGGAAAAATATGGCAACAGAAAAACTATTTTAAAAACCAGTTGAGTAATTAGACGTGATCATTGTATTGATCTAAAAATTATTTAAAAGAAACCGGCAAAATGGTATTTAATGATAGTACTGTAACAGATATAAAGAAGACCTTTTCACTATCAGTTACAATAAAAAGATAAAAAGAAAACATTAAACGTTCCATTATCTCTACACACAATCATTCTAAGGTATCTTCCAGCGTTAAGAAGGCTTTTTTTCAACATTTTAGGTCCCTAAAGTTTTTAATGAATAAATCTGTTGTTATGAGGGTGATTCACGCATTAAAGGTCCTTAATACAGGTTGATATTTCAGCTCTAATTGAAAAATGGACAATAGTTCTATTACAAAAAGACATTCAAAAGCGGCTCTACGAAATATAAATTAAACTTACCAGTTTTCCTTGATCACCGACTTTGCCCTGTAATCCTTTGGCGCCTACTTCACCCTGATAAGCAAATTTCTGATCAGTAGCCATAGTTACAAAAGTTTATGAAAAGTGTTTTTGAAACTCATTTCGTTAAATATGTACTAAGGTTTATTTACTTGGCTATTTACAAAGCAAAATATCGTTACACAGTTCATGGAGTATTACTTGATCTCCTTGAGGTCCACCTTCTCCAGCTGGTCCAGGGGTTCCAGTAGCTCCCTTTAAAGTACCAAAAACCAGTTACAGATAACGAAGTAAGAATACAATTCAGGACCTGTTTTAACTACGCAACTGACTACAAAGAGAAAAAAAGAATGGTGAATAATTGGCGGAATGAAAGAAGAACCTGGACACTCGAACGAACAAAAAACAAGAGAAATGATTCACTGATGATCAAAAGAAAGAACAATCGGGCTGGTAGATGGCAGTAACTTAAGAGAAAGGCAAATATAAGATTAAGTAAATGGGTGAATGAGTTAGTCTGGTAATTGTTTGGCAATGTAAGCCTAATATACTTCAACTAACAGGGATATTGCATAAACGCATAAACACGGCCCTTACATTTCTTCCTTTTGCACCATGTTGGCCTTGGTCACCAGGTTTCCCATGAAGGCCCTACAAAAATTACCGATAATAGCGTTATCCTTTAACGATAATAACAGTTGCTCACATTTTAGTTGAAAATTTCTCTTTCTAGATTTAAGGTTAAAGTATGCATACCCTAGGTCCAGGTTTTCCTTCCTCACCAAATGTGCCGTTAGGACCTATAAATCCCTGAAACGAAAACAACCAAAAAACGATTGAAGTTTAAGTATTAATTTATCAAATCAAATTTAACAAGTCAACTTGCACATGGCTGATAGGGACAGAGACAGTATGCACGTTCATTTTGATAGAAATGAAATACACCGTTTTTCAAACCATCTTACCTCAGGTCCTCTTGGTCCAGGATCACCAAGAGTCCCTCTAGCACCAGGCTTTCCCTAAAACAAATATAACATCCATTGGTAAACTGGCTATTTACCAAAAACAAAATTGCTTGTCATTCCTGAATATGTGACCATCCCATTACACAAGGAGAGTTATAAAGCGTCCAAACAAACAAGCGTTCGAACAAAAACAAATCTCATCACTACAGATAATCCCAAAGGACGCTGACAGCAAGAACTAGAATCAGAACTTGAATGTCCCCGGGGCCAAGAATGCTTTACACGAGACTTTTAGCAAAACACAAAAATCGCGATGCAAAACTTAAGCAAAAACGAGGTGACTTTCTATTTTTTTTTATAAAGTGAGCGCAGTTAGAAGTGTAGACACGATATATAGTATCTACAGCTGTATGGCTCGCAATGAGACACAAATGTAACATGTATTACAAATATGTCATACCATTAGACCCTGTGGACCAGGCTCTCCAATGGTGCCATCTGAACCCTACAAATAGGAAAAAAAGAAACCATGGAAACCTGAATTCAAAGCACCACAGATCAAAATATGCCACAAACCAGGTTCTTCATTTATTTTTTTTTTGTTGTTCAAAACGAAAATTATTTCTGAGTATTCCACTTCATATAAAACGCAGCAGTAGTTAATGGATGCGGTTCTAAAACGTTCTTGCCTTTTCTCCATGTAATCCCATGTAGCCTTGTCGGCCCTTTCTACCAGGATCTCCCTAAACAGCGAGAAATGAGCACATATAAGTCTAACTGTTATGCTTACCGTTACTTACTTTTTCCCGTGAAAGAACCGTACGCATAAGATGTCTGTTCTACAAGACTCATATTTAGGCACTTGACTCCTTTATACTTTTGGAATGGTGAATTATGAGCTAGACAAATACAAAACATTCCAAATAGCCAAAAACCAAAAACGAAAAACAGAAAGCAAGGCAACGTTCTACGGAATCACTGATTATTGGGTTGCTTAACCAGGCAGGTGGAAAAATGCGCAAAACAATCCCAAGAGATTTTCACTTTGCACTCAATCTATACCACGCATTTTGTTTTTACATTTTTTCTCCTCGCAGTCTCTTGGTACTTCTCTCAGTCGGGCTATAGCGAAAAAAAAATATCATATTACTGGTACTAAAAAAGAAGCGTACTCTTTCTCCTCGTCTTCCACGGAAACCACGGCGACCGATGTCTCCCTAATAAAACGAAAAAATTGGTCATCATGTCTATAATGGTAGCTGGGTGTTTTCCTAACATTGTTTGTACCATTGCAAAGCAAATGAACCTTATCTCCCTTGTTTCCTTTAAGGCCCGACATTCCAGGTTCACCAACAGGACCCTAGACAATAAAAAAATAGGAAGCTTTCATGGTATAGAAACACTCAATCTACGTTAAATATTAACTCACTAGGTTAAGTGACTAGACCTATTATCACCCCAAAAGTAATTCGTTTCACCGCATCTTGTTTAATACAACCAAGTGAGGCTGTGAATAACAGCTTACCAACGTTCCTTTAAGACCATGTGTTCCAGCTCTTCCTGGCTTTCCAGGCATGCCCTAAAATAATGACATCATTTATGTTAAATTTTGAGATCTTTCATGACACAAAATGCTGCTGGGGAATAGAATTATTAGAGCAAGGTAAAACAATGAAGCACATTTTACCTTGAAAAGTGTTTTAATCGTTGTCTGAGTATCACCGAAACTTTGTCATAAGGTAATTTCCAGTACGTTAAGTAGAGTGTTGTTGTTTCCTCTACGACATCACCTTTCTTTTGTTGAAGTGGCTGTCAAAGCATGGTCAAGTAGGTAACGATTTGCGACAATTTTTGTCACCAGTCAGATGAAAACTAAGACTTTAAGAAGCCGCAACGTACTAAAGAATACACGCTGACTGATACCAGGTCTTTTTGAGAATCCTTTAAATCATGCTGACATTCAGTATCAATGCCAAACACAACAATACCAGAAACGATCCATTTTTGAGCTACCACGGTCATTGAACATCTTGTTCAGTGATATCGCACAGCTTAATTATATGCCCCATATACTTATCCCAAAACCCACACCTGAAACACGCTGACCGTCTTTTTTAAGCGTTTCAGGTTTAGACAAGAAAACACTTTGAGTGTAACAGCAGAATAGAGGTGCATTTTTCTGTTGAAGTTATGAGAAAGGTAAATCACGTTTTGTTTAACAAGATATTTCCATGTACGCTTCCATGACAGCATAAACATCAAGTTCAAGATGTACCTTGTGACCTAGCAATCCTGGAGAACCTTTGNTAGAGTGTTGTTGTTTCCTCTACGACATCACCTTTCTTTTGTTGAAGTGGCTGTCAAAGCATGGTCAAGTAGGTAACGATTTGCGACAATTTTTGTCACCAGTCAGATGAAAACTAAGACTTTAAGAAGCCGCAACGTACTAAAGAATACACGCTGACTGATACCAGGTCTTTTTGAGAATCCTTTAAATCATGCTGACATTCAGTATCAATGCCAAACACAACAATACCAGAAACGATCCATTTTTGAGCTACCACGGTCATTGAACATCTTGTTCAGTGATATCGCACAGCTTAATTATATGCCCCATATACTTATCCCAAAACCCACACCTGAAACACGCTGACCGTCTTTTTTAAGCGTTTCAGGTTTAGACAAGAAAACACTTTGAGTGTAACAGCAGAATAGAGGTGCATTTTTCTGTTGAAGTTATGAGAAAGGTAAATCACGTTTTGTTTAACAAGATATTTCCATGTACGCTTCCATGACAGCATAAACATCAAGTTCAAGATGTACCTTGTGACCTAGCAATCCTGGAGAACCTTTGCCCCCTGGATCTCCTGGTGGGCCCTATAAAAAACAGACTTAAGTTACACGATGACAGCTAAACATCATAATACAACGTGCGCTGGTTTGTCTCACCAATAAAAACCTCAGAAAGAATACATGTACTGATCTTACCTTTGCTCCTGGTAAACCTTGTTCACCTCTTATTCCAGCCGGACCAGAAATACCCTAGTAAACAGAGTAAAGAGGTAGTCAATCCTGCTGATGCATCTGATGGTAAACTTGTGGTTAAATTTCTTAAGTGGACGCTTATTAAGGGCAGACATATCTCTGAACACAACTTCTGAAGGTCAACGTAAGTTCACAATTTAATCTCAGATGAACTCCTCTGAAGGCAGGAAAACATTATTTTAATGGTATTTATTTGTCATTTTCAGTTAAATGTAGTTCCAAGTAGATACAGCACAGATGTTAACAATAACGTGACTGCCAGAGGCAAAACTATCCTAGTGAGTATGCTAGGAAAACTGGTATCCCGTGTAATATAATACCTTATGCCCTTTTTCACCATGTCCTCCCTTAGCACCTTTAACACCAGGAATTCCCTGGAAACATAATATAAATGGTTAACAAATATGAAAATCATAACCATAGGCCTCGTTTGCACTACGACAAAAAATAGAGTTTGGCGCTTGCAAAAAACAGTAATGAAAATTTTGTAACCACCAACATTTTGTTTTTGCAACCTTGTTCGCATCCGAAACAAGCAAATTTTTTCGTATAACCAGAAACGTCAATTGAAGAAATTCTAATTGGTCATGCAGGCAAAATAAGATGACCCAACGAAGGATAACTGTCAAGGAACAAAGGATTTTGTCACCTGAAAAAGAAGTGTAGGCCTCCAAAACTTCACGACGGCATCGTTGAAGTTTGGTGACACTTCAGAAAATTTTGATGGCTGAAAAAGATCGTTCGCGCTAGAAATGGCTTGCTGTTGACACATTTTTTTGCAAATAAACAAAGTTTTGTAAGTGCAAACAGGGCCATAATAAAAACAAGCACACGCCCATGACGCTGTATAATTCAGTACTCACCAAGACCTCAAAACACAGCTTTGGGGTGGCTACTACTCTTTCTAGATCGTAATCTTCAGGTAGCTAAGTGCCTAGAAAAAATTTTAGGCTCACTTCGGCTGGTTTGTAGCTGACGTCATGGGAGACATGTTGGTTCACAAGAACAAAAGCATTTCCCTTCTCTGAGAACTTAGATCTGCTTTCATGAATATTCTACGAAAAAAAATTTGTGTGCCTGCGGCTTTACTGGCTACTTAGCTATCTGACCCTAAAGGTGCTTTATTAAAGTTGAACAACCGCTTAAGACACTTTCATCTAGTTTTATACTGGTATTGAATCACGCACAGGTATAGCTTAAAGTGTTTAATCACCACAAAAACAAATAACCGTTCCATATGTTGTTACGCGATACTTTGCCTCTTCTGATCGCGCTTTTGGCCATCAATCTAGACTTGTTTACATGTGTATTTAACACCTACGACTTAACGACATCTGGATATATTAAAATTGGAGCAAACTGTTCTTTTATTCATAACCGTCTCTTGGAACGCCAGACTTATTTTGCAACGCTGAAATTCAGTGTATATCAACAACAAGAACTATGATGTCATCAGCCCGGCAATACCACAGGCCTCTTTCAGGAAAAACACCCTCCATTTCTTGTTATTCGTCTATAACTCTATCTGCCAATATCCACACTCAATATCCAGCGTAGAGAAACACCTTAAACCTGACAAGATGTGTACTGCTCCTTAAAATCCTCCACAGTGGTGCTTACCACCCTGTTGACATTCATCAGCAACGCAGATGAACAAATCATCTGCTCGTAGTCAATTACAAGGTCCCTCAAGACGTTCACGCCTGACAGGCTCGGTAACAATACCAATCCAAAGCACAAGGCGTAGCATATGTAACCAAATGCTCTAGCATGGCCTCCTTTAACAAGGCCTCTATCATTCACGGGTCGGAATCACAAATGACACATCCACTGCAACGTATTTTTTCTGCTCGAGTTTTACAAAAATGCTGGAATCAAAGGACATCTACCTCCATCCCCATGAATTTCATGGTTCAAGGTTCGTTACCCGTATGGACTGCCCAGCCAGTTGAAAACACTGGACTTAGCAGTATCTTCCATATCTCTAAGATAAGAGCTCACACAAACACCTTGCTCCAACGTAAATAACGCACACACCACAAGTCACATTTATCTCGTAAACAGTTTTTATAAAAAGGGATGTTTTCAGGCACTATGGCTCGTGGAATATAAGTTATACACTTCAGCGGTATACAAAATACCTTTTTGCCTTTTGCTCCAATGAAACCACGACTACCGGGCGTACCCTGGCCATAAAATAACACAACAAAGTAAGCACCGTAACGATCCATTATTTAAACACAATGGTGTAGTTACTACCAGTTTTTAGAGAACTTACACCACCCCGACGGCGGCGGCAACCAGGACGTCAAAAAACAATAGGTTTAATAAGGAAACAACAACTCTTCACGTATATCACACTTTTACATATGTTCGGTGAAGTTTCGTAGTTTCACGTTTCTGGAAGACGTTAACATATAACGACAATTTCTAAGTGACGTTTTCGCTGCTGTGACTGTCGCAGTTGCACAACCTCCCTGTTATAATGAAATTGTGCTACCTATTTTCAAGGAAGGCGGGTCTTAAATGAATATTTCCAATTAGAGCTCAGTTTGCGAAAAAAAAAAACAAAAACAAAAACAAAAAGAAAACAAAACACCTGAGCCAAACAACCACATTAAATGCCTTCTTAAAATAACAAACAACATTTCAGACTGCCATTAAACATTATTAATTTTTTCAACCTTCAAACAACAGAAGTTCTACTATTTCACTTACTTCGCATTAGAATAATTATATAGTATTTTGGTGTTTGATAGTCTGACAATGTGCAATGCCGCATAAGGAACATTATGATTACTTAAAACAACAACTGTAAAGCAAACTGTAGAATCATTGAAACATGTCTTCTTACTTTTGCTCCTCTTTTACCGAGGTTCCCTTCGGGTCCGTGCTGTCCACGTTCTCCCTGATAAATTGGTATGACGATAGCAGTCAGGAAAAATTCTCACAATTTCCTTGATTTTAGATGGTTCTGGGTTATACATGTAGATGCACTGTGCTCAAATGTAACACTACTACTATTTATGAAAAAATAATAGTAGTGTTACACATTTAAAACAAGAAATTCACTGAGTGACTAACTCTACTTTCCTCTATACGCCTATGAATATTACATGTCAGCCTTGTTACGGTATCACCCTCAAAACGTATAATAAACACGACCTGCTGTTGTCCTTGACTCTAACGTGCTTCAGAAAGATATCAGAAGCCCGTTACAGTTATTTTGTTGGCTCATTAGTTAGTTCGTGCGTTGGAGACTGCAGTAGATGGCTATTCTGTTGCTCCATGCCTTTTTTCTTTTCAATTACCAATTAGGAAACTATTTAGAAATATATTTATCCTTTGCATTTAGTGTCGAGTGTACATTTTTTTTTGCACGTCCCATTTTGTCACGAATAACAAAGAAAAAAGAAGGTACTAAGAAAAAAATTGACATTTAGGAAATACAACCATAAACTGCCGGGAAAAGAAGGCAGTCCATGAAGTTTACATTTGCAGTTTGACACTTGCCTCATGTCCAGGAAATCCTCTAGGACCTGGTGGCCCTTGGGGTCCCTTAGAGAAAATAAAAGTAATTACATTTATTGAATAATAGGAGTGATTTAATCCTCACTCTAAGTATAATATAAAACTTTGTGTGTTTATTCCCTTATTGTTCTGGGAGGAGGCAATAAATGCCGATTTCACCTAAATCTTGTCCAGACTTCTCTCAAAACCTTCCCTTGCAACGTTTTAAAGCTGATTGGATCGTTTCTAGTGACTGTCAGGCCAAAACGCACCATAACTGCCCAAAACGCTGTTTACAAGTCAAGTACTTCTCGATCTTTTGTCACTGATGTTAAATATCAGCTTCTCAAGTCCGGGGATGCGCAGAAAGTAAAATTTCGAGTTTTGGGGTTTACAAGTGACACGAGTTTACCTATTGCTTTCTTTCCTCCCCTCCTTCTCCGTGTTTTCATTGGAATTTTTGGTTCAACGTCATATATTTATCTGCATTTTTCTCCGACCTGTATGACTGAATCGTGTTCATTTCATTAAGGTTCGAAAGATCTCTTCCCCCTGCACAAGTTGAATGTCTATCTTGTTGGTGACCGTTGAAACTAATGACGTCACAAGCGGTAAAACGGACGTAGATCCGCACGGACGTTCAAGGGTAAATGTAATCTTTCACACACATACCCCCAAATTATTAAGATTGATTGTCTGGAAATCCTCCTTTATGATTATCTACTGATTGTATCAGATGTTGAAAGGAGAAAGGTACAAGGAAAAGCCCAAATGGTATTACTCTGACTGGCAGTATCTTCCCAGCTGGTTTCTTTATTTGTTTATCTTTATGAGTACAGTATACTCGATTGCTTATGAACATAACCCAGCGCTACACAAGAATTTCTCGGCGCCCTCAGGAATGTCTCTCAAAATAAATGATCTCCGTTGATAACAGCATTACTATATTGTCTACAAAGAAAGGACGTGGCACTGGTATATGCCCACTTTTAATTCAAGTGTAAACCACTATGTACTTACAGGTTTTCCTGATTGTCCTGGGAGTCCCATGGGTCCGCGGGAGCCCGGAAAACCCTATAACACAAAAGAAAGTGACAATAAAGGAATAACATTTTGCAAGTAGTAAAAAACTTTTATTGAATCCACACTTACTATGGGTCCTGGATCTCCAGGGTCACCAGCCAGGCCTGATTCACCCTATTGAAAACAATGATAAAAACACAATACAGCAGTTCGCTGTTACTCTCAATTAATTTAAGATGCCACGTTCAACAGCTGAGTAAAAATGAAAAATGTGCACTTCCATTGTTCTGCAGGCAGTCGTAGAGTAAAGTGCTAACTTATTGACACCTGAACAAAGGGAAACACGTATTTTGTTTTCAGATGACCATGCACTGGTAAATATGAATTGCCGAAAACACCCTCACCATGTTTCTCCGTTTGGATGTCCCCAATCATCTGACAGTTCTACGATTTGGATGCGTATGGCTATTTTCTAGAACCAAACACTATAAAGGATGCACAGCAGACTGACAAGTTCCAAATTGCAAGAATTTACAGCGCCTATACCTGAGCACCCTCAGCTCCTTGAAGTCCAGCCATGCCTGGTTCACCTGGATCTCCCTGAAATAAAGAAAAGGGAAAACCTAAAAATTACAAGGCAGAGAGTTCAATTTTTTTTTAAGGTTAGATAATCTATGTAAAAACACTTGAGCAAATGTACAAAGTTTTGCCACACCAAATATGAATTTAGACCTTCAATACCCACCAACGGTCCTGGGAGTCCCTTTAGGCCTCTCCTTCCAGTACGACCCTAAAGAGTATGATGTTCTTCTAAGTTCATATTTATTAATAATAAATGATTACTTTAACTGTGTTAAAGTTAACGTTGGAATTCCAACGTTTCCATGAGTATGCATATCCTGACTTTTACTTAAGTGAAACTGCAGTGTGTTGTACTTTGTGGGCAGAAGAAATAGTAATGGCTATCTTAGGAAACAGGGTTGCAACCTGTGCTCACATTTATACGCTTGATGCTTATAGTACCATGACTGTCAAACTCAGTACAGTCAAACTTCTCCACAACGGCCACCTTGAGGACAGAAGAAAGTGGCCGACTTGTGGGGAGGCAGGGGTGTAATATGACAATTTTTTTTTAAGGGAAGTACGATTTGTTTGTTGGGTCAAGTTCTTGCTTACTGTATCCCATAATGATAATCCAAATAAAATACACAAACAAACAGCTGAACAAACTTGATGTTTTGAATCAAAATGTCAAATATAAACAAAACGAGCAAGGTTGTCATGCAACATTCGTTATAAGTGTTGTGGACAATTTATGTTTACTGCAGCAGTATAGATGGAACACAATCAAAATACGATTGCTACGATTAATCTTCATCGCGCCATACGAATCAATTCTTGACTTTTTCATCCATTGCTGAAAAAAAACTGGCCGTTGTTGAGAGGTAATTATGGCGTTTGGGTCGCACTTTAGTGGCCGTTGCCGTTGTAGAGAGGTGGCTGTTATAGAGAGGTTAAAACAAGAGTCAATGTATGGACTGTCCGCCGAGACAAAAAAAAGTGGCCGTTAGCGATGGTTCGACTGTACTATAAGAAAAAGTTAACAGGTGTACCTTCTTTTGATAGTTCCATTAGACTACCTGTATCTATACTTTAGTTTTATTTGGAAGACACAGCAATAATTTCAAGAAACATCAAAAACAAGTACTACTTATATTTTTACTACAATTGATGGGTCTGGTATTACAACATACCATCTACCTATCTTTACCTGATGTCCAACAAATCCAGGGTCTCCTTTAAGTCCAAGACTGCCCTGCAGAAAACATGAACTATTTTCTAACTGGAAAAGTACAAGAGACTGACTAATTGTCACAATTAGTTATCTTTTACCTTACTTTTGCCATTCTTACAATTAAAACTAATTTTTTTACTAGTTTTTTTTTAGTTTGAGGGCAACACATGCATTATCCTAGAGGCCTGGGAGAGGTGGGGGGAAGGGATACCCCCTATTCAATTTGTGCAATATTCCCCCCCCTCCCAACCTCTTTCCATCTGCTAGGTTGCTTTTAGGCAAGCTGATATAGCTTGAAGAGGAGAGAATTTCCTGCCTTGTTAATGATGTGGCTTTGAGATGAGCAATTCTTGCCACCTCTGAGGTCACATAGGAAGACAGGGAAATCAAGAATGATTGACAAATCACATTTACACTATTAACAGACTAGAGGTAGACGTCAATTAATTTGAGGTCTTTCTTTAAAAGCCTTGCTTACCTTCTCACCTGGAGGGCCATGGGCACCATGTTTTCCACGCATGCCAAGTGGGCCCTGACAAGACAGACAACTTGTTAAAAAAATAAATAAATAACAGTTGGAAGAATTTGCTGAAGCTTAATTACTTCAGGTGTCAGTAGTCAGTATTCTAAAGTGACTATTTCCACAAAATACATGAAGAGCAATATCTATTCTTTCACTATTTGTTTAAACAATTCCCTGACCTTTCTTCCTCTGTCACCTTGAAATCCCTTTGGTCCTACTGCTCCAACTGCTCCCTAATGAGATGCAAATACAAATGAAAATAGTTTATGTTCCAGTTTGGTTGCCACATTTAGTCACTTTGCGCTCTAAATTTATTTATTTCTCCACCCTGTGGTTGCATTGCAGCCAAGATGTGACATCAACTTAATCTAATTTGTCATGCATTATGTGCTTTCGGTGTCACATTATTGGTAAGAGTTGCTCATTTGCATCCTTCTTTATGGTAAATCTGCAGGGTGAATTCACATTAAATAACAGCAAGTTACAGACAAATCAATTGTATTATTGGGCTTCATGACAGAAAATAAAATCCTCTAAGTGGTTCAGGTAAAAATTCTGAACAAAGTGTGGTTCGAGGCAAGAGATACCAAACATTCATCATTGTATTATAGTATACTAAAGCAAAAGGAAAAAGGTTAACCCACTTGAACTGTTTTTAAAGATGGCCATAAATCCCTGAGGTGTCAAAACACTTCTTTGTCAATTTGGCTTTCAAGTAAAGAAGTTTTGTATCATATGAAATTACCATATTCAAATAAAAAAGAATCAATAGATCAACGAAAGTGTTCATGCCCCTAAGTTGAAGCGTACACCCCTCAGCTAATGTACATATTGTGTTAAGCTGACTCTGGGTTCCAGCTGACATCATACATGCAAAACAGGAGGGCCCTGGTGCTGCCTGGGGGTCATTGCCTAACCTTGAATGACGCTGGGCTAATGCTTCACTCAAAATGCCAATGCCTTATCCAGGGACACGTGGATACGGAGATGACATTTTTTTTTTAATTGCTGTTAATTATTATGTTACTGTAGATATTAGTTGCACCTGCAATTTTAAGAACCCCAAAAGGAAAAAAGTAATAAACTAATAGCACCAACCCATGAAAGTCACCTTTCATTCTGACTAGCCTGGATACAGTCTGAGGTCTCCTATTACCTTTGCATAATGTTTATAATGCCACTATGCTAACATCCCTATCGTACTTAATGAAGCAAAAGAAATAGAGGACATCTGCAGGGAGAGTAATTCTGGCACAACACTTCACATATGTTGTGAAACCCAGTAAATGCCCCCCTCACATAACAATAACCTTGCATTATATAAATAGAACATAGGCCTCAACATACAGGATGTCCTGGTGATTCAATGACTCTCATTACTCTTGTAATCACAGGACCCTTGGCATTTGAATTACTTCCAGTGGTACTCTACAATTGACAAGAAAAAACAAGATCATTATTTTATGTAATAAATTACTTCAACAGAGACTTATTATGCTAATACACTTCCAGAGCTTCCACTATTATTATATGTGACCAGTCAAGCATGAAGGTTAGTCCGATGAGAATGTATTTCTCAGGAGTACCCAATGTCAATATTGGAAAATATCTGTTCAGAAGACGATTTGAGATCTAGAATTTTCGGGACATTTGTTGTAAAAATTTCTTGCTTGCCTGCCTCTCCTAGGATTTTCGAACATCTAAAAAATGGTATAATTGCCCATTTTTAACGGATTTTTACCCTAAAAAGGTCACCTAGACTTTTCGGGAGCCTTTTTTCTGGCGGAAATTTTCGAAATGGTAAGTTTTGAACCCTATAATTTTTGGACCACTACACTTTCAGCTAGCTACCGTTTAAATACTAAAATACATTCAACAATGCTATGTGTAAGTGATTTTGAACTATATTATCGATTGGTGCCCCTGATTTTTTACCTTTACTCCAGAAGGAGCTGGCATGGCAACCTACAATAGGAACGGTAATAGATATCAATTTGAAATGAAGTACTTTAATTAGTGAAAAATATATAAGGGGCCATAAACTAGGTTTAATTTTGATAGTTTACTAGTACTGAACTTTGAAGAATATACTGAAATCACTTATATACCTAAATGTGGACACCGTCTCTTTCACAAAGCCCCCAATATCAACCACCCCTCCACCCTCTTATAAACAAAAGTCCACCAAGTCCAAAGTTATACTATGGGTGTGGTTCAGGACTTATACAAAGTGTTACATGAATTACAAATTCCCTTTTTTGAAGAAAATAAAAAAGTCTTGTCAGTAATAATACATGCACTCTGGAGATTTGGTAACTGGTATGGGAGACCAGGAGATTTGTGCTCTAACTGGGAGACTCCTAGATAATCCGGGAGAGTTGGCAGATACGTAGATAATGACTGACAAACAAAACATGGGCTCATAGCAAACTCAGAATGAATATTTATTCAATTCCCAGCAGGTTGCCAAATGTTTCCCTCTGGCTTCCTGTTTGCAATATTTTCCAACAGATCTTCTTAATTGTCAAGGGAAAAAAAGATGGTTGTAAAAACTTTTTGGAAAAATCATCTGTTAATCTTTTTGATAAGGAAGAAAGGTATAGTTCACTCGAAAGGAGAAGCAATAAAAAATGTCAGGTGCTAGGCTTAATTTGCAGGTGCACGTGGGGTTGCAAACAAAGGTGTTAGGATAAGGCTGAGGGTTCAAGCTACATCATCTGCAAATCACAAATGAACCTTCCGTAATGTAATACCACATCTAGCCAAACTGTATGAACAAAATGTAGGTTAATATTCAAATGTTTCCCCTACTTGTCTATGAAATCATGAAATCATGAAAATCACTGGTCTTCGTAAAACTGAAGGTTATTATAAACTTTAAAAAATGGACCATCATACAAAAAAGTCTGTAAGATGCGCACTACACTGTAACTTTCTCCAGGAGAAAGTGTATCTCCTGTAGATAATAGCATACTTACAAAACCTTGGCCTGATTCTGCTTCTGTATTCATCTTAGTTTCCTATCAAAAACATTACAGAGATTAACATAATGCTTCAAATGTATGTTTATATTTTCAGCTTTTGATTCTAGGCTTCATGAATGAGCATACTTGTTTACGTAAGCATGAATAGCACTTAAACTTAAATTATGTGTTAATGGGTGCAAACTAGATAACATCAGACTTTTTGAAAAATTACCAGCCACTGAAATTGGCCCTCAATGGATCCAGTTCAAAGTATTAGGGTAATGAGTTGGTGATTTCATTTTAACTGTTAATCAACAACATTCGCAGAACTCTCACTCACTGATGTCATCTCTAGAAAAGGTATTAAGATTCTAACTGAGTTTCATAAAATAAAGACATCAAAGGCTTCAGAGACCTTAACACTCTAGTAAATGTTTTATATTGCAAATTAGTTGAATAGTGGAAGGATCTGTTGTTACCGTTTGATGCTCAAGACTTTTTTAATACACTCTTCTCTTTCCGAGAGATCCATCCCCCATTTTGACTCTTTTTGCAATCCCAACAACAAAGCATTTTTTTCCTGATTGGGCGGCTTTGTCACAGGCAGGCCAATAAAAATGGGCCATAATTCCAAGCTCATTATTCCGGACACTTCAGTTACTAATGCAGTTAGTTCGATTAAGTATGAACTAACAGTAATTAACAGCAAAAAAATGAAATAAAAAGCAATTTTCCAAAAGTGACTAAAACTACCGTGGCTTTTCATTTCTTCTTAGAGCTGTTGCTATCATAACGGATAATAATACAAAATTTCGACAAGAAAGCAAACATAAAATGGATTCTGGTAGTTGCAGTCACCGTGAAAATGGCTCACATTATTGGAAGAAAAATTGTCACCTGTATCTGTTTGGCACTGAAATTTCCACTGCTGGAGCAATTACTGGATAAAGGTGTGTGACAGAATTCTCGAATAATGTTCTGTTCATATTCTACCAGCAACAGTTCACAAATGTTCTCCTAATTGAAATAAGGAAGGGATCACTTACGTCAAAAGAGAGGATTTTAAAGTTAATTAGTTCAAGATAACCAGAGTAGCTGATGAAGTTTAAATATCACAATTCACCCTGTCTAATGGAATGTGGCACAATTTTGAAACTACACATTACATCTTAGCAGTACTAATTTACAGGTTTTTGTTTTTGGGAATGCATGCATTGTCTACCCATTTTTGATGAATAATTTTCCTCTTTGTGTGACAAGTCTATCTAACAAGATCAAAACGTGCATCAAAACTTTTTAAGATGGTTATATAAACAAAACAAAAAAGTAGTGTCACAGAAACTACCCTTATACTTACCTGTACATTGTCTTCAGAGTTATCCATTTGAGCTGTAACCATAATCTTCTCCCATTCTTCCAATTTAGGATTGCTTGGCAGAGGTAAGTAACTGAATTCTGCACACTCCTGGGTTAATGATATTTCTCTGTGATCAAAGCTTACTACTAATTTTTGCCATGATGATACACTTGCTAATTTAAACAGGCCAAATATAGAATTATTACTGTAAAACAAAGTTGTCCTATTTTGAACTATAATAACAAATAAACTTTCAGATAAACTTCCTTGGACAGCATTCACATGTACATAAAATCTGCTACTGTCTAATTTTTGTCTGAGGTTAAAAAGTAAAGCATATTGAGAAGGGCTTCTTGTTAATAAATAGTCTCTGTCTGATAAAAGTGGCACTGAAGTGCTAGTCTCTTCCTTGTAATGTATATTATTGGTTGGATTTCCACTGGTAATGTTGTCTAATCTTTGCGTATCTGAAGCATTTAATCCAAGTGTATCTAAACAAACAAACAAACAACACAAAATGTTTTAGTATTCCGAGATGAGCAGGTGCAAAATTCATATAAAAAACAAGGGGTTTCAATGTCTGGTAAGTATGAAATGAGGGAACACTAAATGACAAAAGGCTTGTGCTACGAATTCAGGGGTTACAATATGCCCAAAGTCTGGAATTTAGCCATCAATTTGCCCACATTTTTTTTTTACAAAGTTCATAGCATGGTTAGTAGCGCAATGAGTACATATCTTTGAGCCTCTCTATGGGTACCTACAGATGTCTCTTTTGTCACGCTTTTTCTATCAAGTCTTCTTTTTGTCAACAAAATTGTTACATATCAAGAGTTTTTTTGTGTGGTAACACAACTAGCAAGCGCAAGCAACCATGAGAATGATGATGGAAATTCTAGAAATATTAGTTGTTCACAATTTTGTGAGTTTTACATTAATAAAGGAATTGAAGACAACATTTTTTCTAACCTGATTGAGTTAACAAAGATGATTTACCAGCACTTCTCTTGCGATGTCTATCAGCAGATACAGAGGTTATGAGAAGAAAAACTAAGAAACATCTGCAAGAAACCAGTACAGTAATAAACACCACAAAATTACAGCAAATGGGCAAATTAGTGCATTTGAAACACGTTACTGATGTAATTAGAGTTGACTCCCATAACTCGAACCTTCCACTAACTTGAACCAAAATCGAATAACTCGAGCTCCCACTAATTCAGACCTTTTTCGATTTCCCAAGAAGGTTCGAGTTATCGAGAGTGGATTGTATTGTATTGTTAAACCTTTACTTATGTGAAATTCAATTCATATAAGGCATTAACAATTATTGGCTTAATTCACATTAGAAGCAAAGTTAATTTCAAGTAAGCACTTGATTCAAGTGCACTTGGAAATCTTAATTAAGTACCTCTGTAGAAAACATGGCTTCACACTGGTTGACAAAGTATATTACTTAAAGCACAAGCATAGCTATTAGGGGAGACTGGTTATGAAAAGCAGCAAACATCAATTTATTATAAAAACAACAGTGCAGTAGTTTATGTTTGAAGCTCGCTGAAGGTGCACGATCCCTTGCTTTCTTTTGGCATTAATTGCGATGGAATAAATTAATGCAACGTCTTTATTGGTCGATACAATCAAAATGCAAGGAATGCTATTGAATGTTGTGCACCTTCAGGTCCAAAAAAAAATATACCAAGGAGCTGATGGGTTTCATAACCATTCCACTCCATTAACTATGGCACAAGCTGTCAATCTTCTCTCACGGTAAAATACTACCACTGAAGCTACAGGCCTGGGCACTGCAAAAGATTTTTTCGTCGTCATTTTCATATTTATTTTTTCGTCCCTTTGAATTCAGAGGGTTTTGACCCTAAAAGACATGCTTACATACTTTTGTTTTTTAAGTACTTAGCAGTGGCACACAAAAAAAAAACACACGCAACGTCTTATGTATTTCTTAAGAATGGCTCAACAACACGTTTTTCTGCAAAGATTAATCACCGTAGGGCTTGGGCTTGGTCTCTTATGCAGTGCTCTTGGCTAGCCAAAACATGGATCCACTGTTGATTGTTTTTCTGCCCATTCATTAGAATCTTGCAACCGCTGCAGTGCACATCGTGCACATGGCTTCCACTTCTTATTGATCAAGTGTGTTCTCAAGTGTGGTGTAGGCCATACTTGGCGGCAAACTTCCGCTTCTTTGAACTACAGTGGAACCCCATTAATGCAGTCACCAATGGGCCAAAAAAATTTGGCCATGTTAATGAGGGTTTTTTTTACAAGAAAATGTATGGTGGTTTTTGCCAGGCGGCCAAAAAAAAAGTGGCTGTAATAACAAGGTGACCGTATTACCAAGGTGTCCATAAGGAGGGGTTCACTGTACGATCATTTCCATGATCACCAGCATGCAAAGAAAGTCGTGTCCGATAGCCTGGGGCTAGTGGATTTTGCCATCGGACTAGTGATTTTTGTTCTTAACTTGCCCGACGGGCGAATGCTGTTTTTTGGGGAAATTCAAATTACAGAAGGATTGTAATCAGTCCTGCTAATCAAAAAGGCTTTGGGGCTACTTGAAATGTCTTGTGGGCTAGTACATGCTAGCTACAGCTTGCCCAAATGGCAGGCTGTAAAACTGACTTTCTTTGCACCCTGATCACTAAGTAAAGTTGAACTAGGTACCCCTTTTACCTCTTCACACTCAAAGTAAGTTCCAAGTACACTTAAATTATACTTACAACCTCTAGTGTGAAGGCAACAAATATTCTTAAGGTAAACTGCTTATGTATCAAATTTAGTAATATTAATATTGTATTGTGCTTAAAAAAATTTTTATAACGGCATTAAATATTTGTCTAGATCAAATGCAAACTCAAACATTTACAACATACTGCATGATTGGCAGACAACAATAGAACTTTAAATGACAATCACAAAAAACATTTCTAAATTGCATGGAAGTACAATTTAATTGAAGTGATGATGTTCCATAAGGTACCCATGAGAATGCAGCAGAAACATTATGATAAATGAGGTGGAGCTCGGGGTCAATAATGGGATTATGCCACAGCTGAAGCAAAAATTTGCTTAACTTTCAACAATTAAAACTCTCTCTTCGCCCCCTAGAAACCACATTCCAGAGGTCTAAAATGAGGTCTAGAATGTTCTCAATCTGAGACAACATGTACCTCAACCCCCCTGGATAATTCAGCTTCCAGCATTTCATTATTAAAACCCCTTTAAAAAAATCCTAGATCTGCAGCAAAACAATATAAATAACATAAGAAAGTGATGAGTTTAATAAGAAGCCACCTTTACTTGATCATGAAGACATTTTGAAGGGGGATTCCCTCCATTAAAACATTTACTGTAAACTATCATAACCAAATAACTGGCATTTTAGACATTAAGCAGGGTCAGGAAATTCAAATCAGCTTGGATCAAAATGTTGGCTTATGAGAAATATTGGTGTTGATGATTTGTTTAATAAAGAGTTCTTTAAAATTCAATTTCAGAACGAAGCGGAACATTAGTTTTAAGTTTCTACAACAATTTGAGGTTATTACAGAGTTACCCTTTGTCAAAAACAAATTTGAATGATTTAAAACAGCTCACAACTCAGCCTATAAACCAGCACATGTTCAAAAAAAGGAATTTGATGGCCGATTTGTTTTAATTACAATTAAACACATTTTACAGACATGCGAAACGAAACAATCAATCCTGAATATTTCATATACTTCTGCTTCCTGAATAATCTCGCTTTTCCGAGTACCCCAAGCAAAACATTCATGATCAAACGTTCCACTAACAAAGACAGCAAAACAAAAGAATTTATAGATGACCTACCTTGCAAATCTACCAATAAAAAACGCATCCAAGGAATTCAAGGTGAGATCTCCCACATTCACACGGGTAGCTAAGTCCTTCTTCACAGGAGACAAGGTAATCATCGCACGCTCTGTGAGGCAAGGCTTCAAACGAAGGAATGGTAGTAGATTAGATTCTTAACCAAATAGAAATTCAAGTACATAACACCCCGGTGAAAGGGGCAAAGTTTTCGTTGATGAAATTATTGACAGCTAACTTAAAAATGACAACGTATCCATGAGAACTGTCACGCAGATATGAGGGTATCACGAAAGAAGAGAAGGTTGTCGAGTAGAGGTTGAATTCTGACTGCTTGAATTTTCGCATTTCGTACATAGATTGTGGCTAGGGGAAATCTTATTAAAGTACGAAGTTGAATACGATACTAGGTTTGATAATCCAGGTGATTTTGCTATATTTATATGTTGAGTTGATCTATTTCTCTGACTGATCACAGATTCTCTGAGCACACAAACTACATCACCAAATGGCGCTAACAAAATCGCGCGCGCTTGTTCCAAGGTTAGCTGATTTATACTCGTCTTTCTAGTATCATCTCCCCAGGAATACCATAATTACCTGTAATCTTCAATCTTGAGAATACTGCCAGCCTCCTTCGGTTTTAAAAACTGCACAAGATCTTCAGTGCAAGCCATGCGTCAGGACTGGATCCAAGTGTCTTTGTGCCCGGCCGTCCCAATTTAACGACAACAACAAAGTCTTTGTTGCCTTTTGTATACAGAACACCTTTTTTGCCCGATTCTCTGTAGGTGCAATACACCAAATGACGGCGGTATTTTCGATATGAGCGTTATATTTCGAACTAGGCAATACTCGAAATGGTGTCAGATCCCTTAAATTTTCGAATGAAACATCGTAATATTATAAAGACGAAGAGTCCATGATCGAGAGAATGCGAGTGCAATAGAAGAAGCAAATGTTACAAGACGTCACGCAATCTCTGAGTGTACCTCTTCTTTGACTTGTTTTGGACCGACAATAAAAAGGGTGAGATGTCCTTCAAAAGAGATTTTTATCGGAAAGGGCTAGTTTTAAGAAAACGAGATAATTTCGCAACAATTCGATGTTCTTTTCTAACGTATCCTCTAGCTTACAATAAAAACAACTCATAACACTTAAAGATTCATTAGTCAAATCCTCCTAACAAAAAATTATCGTGCAAGGCCGCTTTTTTGACATTAATACAACACAGATAACTTTAAGAGATAAAGAATAAATGCTAATTAAAAACTTTAACAATGGTGGTATTCTTTGCAATTCTGAATACACTCAGTTTTAAGAGATTCATATGAAAGAGATTGGGAATGCTGTAGATGCGTTAGGTATGGGTCAAAAGCGGATTTAGCCTTTGAGTTAATCTGTTTTTTGCGGATTTGCGGATTTTTAAGTACGGATCAGGTCGCTTATTAATACTGGACTTGATTACACGACCTTCTGCAGTGTTTCGTAAGTTTTCAATATCTCCAGTTGTTCCCACAGCGGGGGATTTGTCATTTTAAGTCTGCTCGTGGCGGGAGATCTTTTAAAGATGGAGGTTTTTCGCGAGAAGTCACGTGACCAGGACCTTGCCGACGGCTAACCGCAAGGTGTTTTTGCACCCTAAAAATCAAAATATTGATTTTGTGTTTTCTTAAACAGCCATTTTGTACACTCAGTAGGGTTCATTTCTTAGTTCAAACTATCTACAATCAGAAACTCATAAGGGTTTCTAGTTCAGAACATAGAGACTGATATCAGGAATTAGAGATACCCAAGATAAGATAGCAGAGCAAAGATAAGATAGATACGAAAACGAAAGTCTCACCATTTCTTAGCCATCACGAATGGTGGTATTGTACAAGAATGGATACAAATTGTATGGACCAGCTGAAATTAAGAGAGAATAAGCACTTTCCCTTGCTGAAAACAGGTACTTCTAAGGTCTCTAAGCAAACATCTTTCACGCAACCACGAACACGATGATTGATTTTTCAGTTAGTTTGACAAGCTTAGTTTAATTCTTCAGTAATTTTTATAGCCTGATTCGCTCATTCTATTAAAAAGTTGAAAATCCCATATAAATAAATGGTAATTTGCATTATTATATACAATTCTAAGAAAATACACTTTTAAGTTAGTTTATTTTTTTCTGAAGAAATAAAAACTAAATCTTGTGAATTTTGACGGGAACGACAATTGCGTGTGGAGCTTGTGGTGTAATGGCCATGGTTAACTGAGGGCAAATGGCAACTGATACCAGAAACGAATTCTTAGGAAACTTTTGCAAATTGAAAAATTAAGACAAGCCAGTCCCCCATCGTGCAAGTCAAAGAAAACAATCACAAACAGTACTAATTCTCCTTGCTGTAAGGATAAATTCAGCTGTTTTTTCTACTTAACAACCGTTGACAGCTCTTTCGACTGTGGGAATGCAATATTTAGCATATACATCACACATGAAAAAAGTAAATCATTCTGTTTCCTTTGCACTCACAGTTTTTGATTACCAGTTTTAAAATGCTTTGGTGACGAATGTCTTTGTTTCGTTTAGTACATTCGGTTCATATTGGAGATGTGATAATGTGATCGAACTAATAACGTAATGCCGCATTTTTGACCTCCGGGAGACAACGTTGTCATCTGAAAAAACGATTTCCCTTGATTTTTGCGTGGACATGAAAGAGCTTTTGTAATTATTCGTGACGCACTGATGGACACTGAATTTCCGAGACGACCGACCACCTTTCTTAGCCCGGGAGGGAGGAGTGATTGCCCCCCATGGGACTTGAGGTATAGAGACTATATGCATATATGGGTCAAGGATTGTGGTTGCAAGATTGTAGTTTATGAAGTTCATCAGCATCAAAGCAGTTTCAAAAAGTGGGAAAGCTTGAGGGCTCAGCTCCCTGTCTGTCTGCATGTGCAAAGCAGGTCACTAGCACTGGACATGAAACTGGGTATTTTATGTTATTTTTTTCAAAAACTGACTTTTACGATCAATAGTAGGAAATTGAAACACTGGAAGCATTTAACACATTTTGTGACTGAGAAAACAGGTGCAATTTTACAGGCTTCCAAAGACTGAATTGCCTTGGAAAACCTCTAACCTTAAAACATTCTTTTTTTGCATAGGGCTGTCTAACTGAAAGTCCTTCAAAGCAGTGGGCGACTATACTTATCCTCCAAGGAAAATTCCTAAACTAATAATTTACATGCAATCTTAAAAACTTAGTAGATTGACCTACCCTTTTACGTCGTTTGTGTTTCTTCTGATTTCGCGTCGCGCTTAATCGAGTGGTTATCATTTTACACCTTGCGGGTTACAAGGGTGAGTTCTGTTAGTCACGAGGTCATGTTTATTAATCACCAGTAACATTTGCCTAATGTTTATGGCAAGATGAACCATAGGAGATGCAGTTTCCTTGCCGAACCTAAAAGATCGACGAGATGGTTGTTATTTTGACCCTCGTTGAAAATATGTTAAAATATACATCACTTACCGCACGCATTGTTATAATACACGCCCATGTAAAAAGAGTATGAATACCGACGGTAAAGGTAAACACCCCGGGGGGGGGGGTACTTTAGGAATTTCGGGGTGGGGATGTGCCGCTGGGACCCTGGAACCCTTAACATACCAGAGCTAGTTCAGCTGAATTTTGCTGTCCTATACTAGAGTAAACTCCCCAAATCCCCCCTATCCTAGGGTAGCTGTTTCCCTAGTCTAGATAAAATCTTCAACCAACTGATCAGTTTCCTGAAAAATGACACCCTCTTCTAGACCCAAACTCTCTGATTTATGTACCCTATCCCAGAGTAAACTGCTTGAAAACCATACCCTTCACAGCGGCACATACCTATATAGCCCATGGCAGTACCACCCCCCCGGTAAACCATAAGGTTGTCTTCTGAAACTATTTCAGTTTTAATTCATACCTTCAAACAGGAGTATTCAACAGTATTTCTTTCTCCACTCAAAGGTAAAACCATCTTCGTTCGTCATTTTTTTGTAATTATGAGATCGTATCCGGGCAGGTGCGGTACAGAAAAATGGACGTGGTATACAGAAGTGATCTTTTTTTATTATTATTTCAGCTATATACGACCAGCAGGAAACAAAACATGCGTCTTAGGATCAAGTAGAATTTGAAAGTTTTTGTTAAATTTTCAAATTTACTTAAAAGTAAACCTGCCTACACGACTTGCATGTCGTTATAGAGGACACCGAGGGCTTGTTTGAAGTCCATCAGCTCACTTTCAAGCTTGCCTGCCGAAAAAACAATAATTATTTGTACGAGAAGTAGTCAGCAATACCTAGACTATGCCACGATTTAAAACATGACAAGAAATTATCCCATTTCCTATAAAGAAACATCAGATGTTCATAATTGATCTGAATTGAAACAGGTGAGTTTTGTTTAAAATGGGAAGTCATCACCATCACTTGCCCGTGTATTTTCACACTGTCGAAGTGAGAAATCATCATACGCCAATTTAGTTGATTTCTTTCCCTGGATCAGTACTGTCGGCAACATCAAGAAACAAGCGCAAATTGAATTAACATATATTTAACTTGTTATATGAACCCACATATATTCATCACTGACTTAGCATCGATGGCTAGGTCACGATATGTTGTTTTTCAACGCGCACATCAGTAGTTTATCCCCTCTAAATAAAGTCACGTTTAATTGATTTTGATTGGCCTGAGCGCGCCTTCACTTCCCTTTTGCCTTCCCGTTAAAACGCCTGCCACGCAGGCTAAATTTTCAGAAGAATATCTCCTGACAGTATCGAAATGAAATAGTTTTCACTAGGCTAGTAAGTAAAGGGACCAGCAACGGACATTGGAGGAAAGGACTGATAAGTGCTGACAGTACTAGTTGATGCTTTTAGATTTTAAGAGGTTAAAAGCGACGAGAAAAGTGGCTGTGTTGAACGACAGCTTATATCTTTATTTCGGGATCCA